CCAACTTTTTGCACTGCCTGCACTGAGCAAATGTATTATAAAAAAAAAAACCAAGGCACACATAGAGTCTGCAATGCCTTGGCCCTAGATTATCATGTTGCATTGAGACTGGGTTGGCCATTTTCTGTGGCTTAACACTTGTTACTAACTACATGTCTTGATTAAAATAGACTCTGAAAAAGATTCATTTCTCCCTCTCTGTCTCTTGTGTGTGGGGGGAGGGGGGGTTGTGTATGCGCAGGGGCTGTTTTGGGAAGTGTATTTCCTCTGAGACCTTAAATTCTCCCAATTCTTATTAGAAGTAATGAGTTAAGGGAATTTTGGAGGAAATAAAAATGTTCTCCACAGAGTAATGCAAAAAAGCAAGAATCCAATCTCATGGCAACTCTGAAATCCGTAAGAAGTTCTTCCTTAGTAGACTTTAATGCTTTGATCTTTAAGTGCTTTCTGTGCTAGTGCACGTCAGAAAACCCACTCATGCTGCTACTTCTCTGGCTCCTCATCTGGAGCTGGGAAGTGGGGTACGTGGATATGCCTATCATACCCCAGATATTATAGCTAGCATATATTTATCAACATTTTCAATTCATTCATCCAGATTCTCCTCCACTAGGACCTGTTGCACACACACACACACACACACACACACACACACACACACCGTCTTGTTTCTTTTCTCAGAGCTTTCCTATAGCTCTGTTTCTCCTCTCCTTTTCTACATTCTGGTCATTACACTTGGGCTTCCAAGTGAAATTCCAGGAAAGGAAAGGAGCTGTGGACATGGCATTGCTGAGGTTGCTGTCAAATTTGGTAAGTCCATAGCTCTGTGACATAGACTTCTAACTTATCAAGGAGATGACAATTTTAGAACCTCAGGATGTGGTCAAATAATGAGCAATGAAACTCATTCTGGCACTTCACCTTCTAAATATCTATGTGCTTCATTTCCAAAAGATTGACCTGTTTTAAAGATTGTGGTTTAATATCATTCATTCTATAGGAACCTGTAGAGAGACTTTTGAGCTCCTTAATGGAGTTATTCTTCCCTAAATTAAAAAAAGAATATGAATGTACCAAACTGCAGAACCTTAAGAATAAAAACGCTAATCATAATTCTGCACCACGTGAGAGTACATTGAATAATGAGCTCTCAGTGATACTGCGTATTGACACTAATTTTGAACTCCAACATAGAAAAGCAGTAGAAAAATATACCATATTCTTAATGATGTATCCACACAATTCTTAACCATGGAACTAGATAGTTTATTCCTCCAAACAGCCTAAACAGTAAGTCTCCATTCTGGCACCATGTAAGCTAATTAAATACAGTTCACTGATATTGGGGCATTATTTGATTCATTTAACAAATTCTTATGAAATTGAAATTGTCTGGACAACTATCCAGAAGTAACAAAGCAAGTAAGTGCAAGTGTGTCTTGTTTTCTGTAACAATAGAAATGCACTTTTTCCCCATTTTATTGCTAGTCCTGGAGCTTGAACTCAGGGCCTGAGCTCTGTCCCTGAACTTCTTTTGCTCAAGGCTAGCACTCTACCACTTGAGCCACAGAGCCTCTTCTGGCTCTTTTTATTTATCTGGTACTGAGGAATCAAACCCAAGGCTTCATGCATGCTAGGCAATCACTCTACCATTAAGTCACATTCCCAGCCCCAGAAATACATTTTTTAAATGCCACAAATGATAAATGGTACCACTGATAGTAACTAATGTTGTGACCCTTTTTAAGAAACTGCTATGTTGATGCATAGAAGTCATTCTTCTAGGTTCAAATAAGAGTGGACCCATTTACATATCACTTAGTAATGTTTCTGACTAACACTTTTAAGAAACTGGACACTGGCTTTTATTTTAAAGTCAAGAAATTCAAGGATGCACTCTGCAAAGGGAAGACTTGACAAAGAACAATCGTGACCGATTTGATAAGGCACAAGGAAGAGCCAGGCAGAAAGTGAAGGATGCTCTAACCATCAAAAGAACTTTGAGTCTGAATCAAAAGTCCATGGGGGTAAACCTCTTAGCTGACTAATTCATGGCTGATTTGTGAAACAAGAAAACAATGGAGGAGGAAGGAAAGGATTTAAAGTGAAAGAAAAGACACAAGTGGGGTTTGTATTCCACCTTATAATAGATAAATATTTTTATACAGACATACAAAGTTATAGGCCAATTCTGAAATTCTAACCATGGAATGAAGAGTCACTATAAATCACAGTCATTCTGTATTTTCTACCGGTAGGAACAGATGACTTTAGGCCTACGCTCCTTCTTGTACTGTTTCTGAGCCCGATGTATTTAGTGTCAACACATTCTTTTAGTCAAATTTAACTGTATTTCTCATATACGAGTGATTTTTTTATTTTTATATCTTTGTCTTATTTACTTCATAATTAGCAAAACTTATTAAACTTTCTGCAATAAGCCAAAAGACATGAGTTGCATTCTTGATTTTACAGTTGCAATTCCTCCTATGCAGTTTTAGTATAAATACTGTGCTACCTACATGGAGGATTAGTCGTGACTGGGTTCTATGTAGCAGGTCCAGGATCTGGAGAAAGTTACCTCATCAGTTGTTGGCCTCAAGATTTAATCAATAATGTTGAATAGTTAAACTACCAATACTCTGGCTGACAAGAATGACATCAAATAGACCACATCCAATATTTTACATTAATGCCTAAATCAAGATACATAATATTACTCACATTAATATTTAAATGATAGATAAGTCATGATTTTATCTTTAATCTTATTTTTATTTTGAGATATTTAAAATGTAGAAATTTACAAAGATGAGTCTAAAAATGCATAAACTCTACCATTCAGAATTAATAATTATTGCTTTATGGTCATACTTACTTCCAGCTATTTTTAAAGAAATGAACCTATTTTAGTCTCAGACTTTGATGCAATTTCTTCTTCAGATCCATTAGTTTACCATTAGTTTATTATCTACCTTCCCAATTCACTTGTTACATGCCTATGGGACTCATTCTTAACTATTGCAGGATAGCGTGTTTTAATTTTTTGATTTTACAAGAGATGTTGATAAAGCCCTATTGCCAGGGCTTGCTTAATTATAAATGTTGTCCCTGCCAGGTAGGGGTGGCTTACTCTTGTATTCTTACTCGGGAGGCTGAAATCTGAGGATCAGTGTTCTAAGCCAGTTGTGGGGCAAGAAAGTCCATAAGACTCTTATCTCTAATTAACCGGCAGAAAGCTGCGAGTCAAGCTGTGGCTCAAATGGTACAGCACTAGCTGTGAGTGAAAAAGCTACAGGCCATTAGTTCAAGTCTCAGGACTGGCATACCCCTTCCCCTATTCCCCCCCCCCCCCCTTAGCCCTCGGCTAATATCAAAGTACTGTCGGTTCACCTAGTTATTATCAATATCATCACATCCATCCATCAACAGTCCTGAAGCTTGTTACAGCTTCTGAAATGATGACTTTAATAATTCTTTTATTTTGAATAAGTGTGAAACTTTAACATACTTTAACATAACATAACTTTAAAGTGTGAAACTTTAACATACAAAATCCTGAACACACACACTACATAATTTAATGATAGCAATCCATGCTTAGAGTAGTAGAATTGCACCTTATTTTATGCTCCCAATAAACCTGAGATACAATATATTCCTTTTTTCTTTTGACCAGGCTGGACCTTACAAGAACTTGGGATTGCCAGGCAACTACTCTACCACTGACTTACATCCCCAGACCCATTACATTGCTTTTAAGTAAAAGTCTCAGCCCTGCTACTTCTTACTAACTGCTTAGGAAAAGATTTTTAAACATCAGTAAGTGGAACTTTGTCTTTGGTTAATTTACACTATATAGTACACTTATACTAAGACATAACACCACCACAAAATAATTTAGAGTAAAAAGTACCATAAAAGATATAAAATGTTTTAGTTTTATGAGATCAGGACAGATAAGGAAAATAGTATAGGATTCCTGGAAGTGGACTCTTCTATGATTAAAACAAGGGGAAGGTTATCAAATAAGTTTTCAATATCCAATCCATTGGGATTGATTTGAGGAATTGCTTTTATCTTTATGGAAAGGCATTGCTAACATTAAAACGTCACAAATCCTAGAGATAAAAAACACATCGTTAAGGCTGGGAAGGTGGCTCAGTGGTAGAGCGCTTGCCTTGCATGCCTGAGGCCCTGGGATCGATTCCTCAGCACCATATAAGCAAAAAGAAAAAAAAGCCAGAAGTGGTGCTGTGACTCAAGTGGTAGAGGGCTAGCCTTGAGCTGAAGAGTTGAGGGACAGTGCCCAGGCCCAGAGTTCAGGCTCCACGACCGGACCCAAAAAAAAAAAACTTTAATATAAAATAATTTACAGGGACTTGGGAGAGATAGGATAAAGAGAATACTAAGGTGATGACACTAACTGTTCATCATTATCTATTTGGACAATTGCATATCAGAGCCATTATCAGTAAACAGAAATGAATAGGATCAGAGGTAAAAAGATACAAAGAATGAGATCATCTTCCTCCTAATTTTGCTTTGTCACTTTTACTCTGTTGTGTTTGGATATGACTCAGGGTTTTCCACATTCATGAAATGGTTTGTAGAAGGAGATTTCTCCTCCCAATAGGAAGTGTAGTTCTCTGATCTAGAGATTCAAGCCTTTACTCCTATGCACAAGTGATAAATGATTAGAAAAAGTTGGTAAGGCCCTATGATTAAAAACGTAATACAATTGTGTGTTTATTCCCTTGCAATAAAATAATTTATTGACATCTTGTCAATTTAAAAAGGTTGTGAAATACTGATAAACAATCATACCCAGAAACTTGAAAAATCTCCAAAATACTGTGCTTTGCAGACCAAATAATGATTTAATCAGGACCTATTGAAAAATTAGGTCAAGCAACTAGTAGTTTTTATTCTGAGATTTTACCAGGCATTCCATTCTGAAGTAGTTATGTGTGCTGTTATCTTTCTCTCAACAGGTAAGGTGTGGTCACTGATGGAAAGGGTTAATGTAAGCTCTTTTGAAGGCTTCATTCTAGTGGGCTTCTCAGATCGCCCCCACTTGGAGGTGATCCTCTTTATGGTGGTCCTCACCTTTTATCTGTTGACTCTTCTTGGCAACATGACTATCATCTTGCTTTCAGCACTGGATTCCCGGCTTCACACACCCATGTACTTCTTCTTGGCCAACCTCTCGTTTCTGGACATGTGTTTCACCACGGGCTCCATTCCTCAGATGCTCTACAACCTTTGGGGCCCAGATAAAACCATCAGCTACCTGGGTTGTGCCATCCAGCTTTACTTTGTCTTAGCCCTGGGAGGGGTGGAGTGTGTCCTCCTGGCTGTCATGGCATATGACCGCTATGCTGCTGTCTGCAAACCAATGCACTACACCATCATCATGCACCCTCGCCTCTGTGGGCAACTGGCTTCTGTGGCATGGTTGAGTGGCTTTGGGAATTCTCTCATAATGGCACCCCAGACATTGATGCTACCCCGCTGCGGGCACAGGCGAGTGGACCACTTTCTGTGTGAGATGCCAGCACTGATTGGCATGGCCTGTGTAGATACTATGACCCTTGAGACGCTGGCATTTTCCTTGGCAATCTTTATCATCCTGGCACCACTCATCCTCATCCTCATATCTTATGGTTACATTGCACAAGCAGTGCTTCGGATCAAGTCAGCTGCTGGACGAAAGAAAGCCTTTAGTACTTGTAGCTCTCATCTAATTGTTGTCTCTCTCTTCTATGGTACAATCATATACATGTACCTCCAGCCAGCTAACACTTACTCCCAGGACCAGGGCAAATTCCTTACTCTTTTCTACACAATTGTCACTCCTAGTGTTAATCCCTTGATCTATACCCTCAGAAACAAAGATGTTAAAGAGGCCATAAAGAAGGTACTAGGAAAGGGGAGTATGGAAGGATAGCAGAGTGATCAGATTTGGGGATTGCCATCTTCTAGTTAGGTCATTAGACCTAACAAATGAAGGGATGTTCTGGACTTACAGACAAAAGAGGTACTAAATGAGATGAGAAATTCAACTAGGTAGGTTGAGGAAATGGAATATTCCTCCCAAGTTGATAATCACTTATGTGAGCCTTCTCAAGTTCCTCTAAGTTAAGCATTCACCACCAAACGATTTAATCAGGATAATAGATTTATGTTTGTAAAAACACAGAGATTTATGTTAGTAAAAAAAAAAACAGCCATAAATGCAATCACCACCAAATTTGTCATAATCATTTTATACTTACTAGGTCCTCAATAAATAATTTTTGTTAAAAAAAGATCATAGAAGTCATGCAGGAAAAATACTTATTTTTTTCTAGAAAATTTTAAATGTGCTCTTTTTAGTGCCAAATATCTGATTGAGAGCCAAAATTAATTGTTCAATTATCTAATTTTTGCACTTCAGATGCCATAATTGATACATGGATCCTGCATATTTTGAGTTACTTACGTAATTGAGCTTAATAATATACATGCTTGACCTTTTGATGCAATAAAGAATGAAGAAGAAAAAATGAAAATCAGCATAATGGAGTATTTGTTTTATATAGAAGGGAAAATTTCTTATTAATATTCAATTCCCTATTAATCCTTATCAATGAGAAGTCTAAGGGGAGTTTTTGCTTAAATATTTGAAGATAACTTAATCTCCACTATTCCCAGATATTTCTATTTAAGAAATAAGGTAAGCTTTGAAGGAACTACTGGTTTGTTTGTTTTTTTTTTTTTTTTTGGTTGGCCGTGGGGCCTGAACTCTGGACTGGGCGCTCTTCAGCTCAAGGCCAGAACTCTACCATTTGAGCCACAGCGCCAATTCCAGATTTTTCTGTTTATGTGGTGCTGAGGAACCGAACCCAGGGTTTCATGCATGCAAGGCAAGCACTCTACCACTGAGCCACCTTCTCCTCCCACTCTTGGTATTTTTATGATCCGTTATTCTCTGTCTGTTGATTTTGTCACTTTTTACATTAGTGACAATACCTCTCAGTCACACTGAAATTGATTTGAATGGTTTGTATTGAAAGAGTAGCCATGTGAAAGACAGATCTAACATATTATTTGGATGAATCCTATCTCATAACTTGGGAAAATATCTGCAAACCTTCTACATACAACTTTGGAGGTGGATGGGGGGAGCTGACGGGGGAGAGGGCGGGATGGGAAGAGATGGGAAGGGCTGTGAAGGGGAAACAAAGGAGGAGGTAACAATGCTTGATAAGCAATGTGCTCATTACCTTGCCCATGTAATTGGAACCCCTATGTACAGTATTTTCACAATTAAAAAAAAAGGATTATAAAATTTGAGAACATTGCCAGTGGCATCAGTAGGAGGTTAACTAAAGATGGACTTAGCTATTTCTTGTTTGAGCTTCTTCAAATTTGTTAAGAAAGATGAGGTTAATCTAGAGGTCCTAGAAAATGTATACCTAACAAATTTGCCTCAAAACATAGCACTGTCAAATACAATGTGAATGCTTCCTTATTTCTGACACTAGCCCTTTTATTTTGTGCAGATACATTAAAGTAGATTTTGTGAGGATTAGATGGGGCTTCTAAGACTTGGTTTCTAATTTTGTTTTTTAAGTCATGGAAGGCATTCTATTACTCCCAGAGGAAGGAAGAAAAGAATGAATTAGATTTATTTTGTGCTTCCTACTTCATGAAAAAAGTAAACCATGATGTTGGACCATGATGCTTAGTTAAGAGGATTATCATCTGGGCATATAACTGTATCCCAACTATTCAACTGGTGGAGGCAGGAAGATTTGACTTTGAGGATAACCCAAGACAAAGTTGGTGAGATACAATCTCAAGAAGAAAATACAAGGGCTGGGAAGGTGGCTCAGTGGTAGAGCGCTTGCCTTGCATGCATGAGGCCCTGGGTTCGATTCTCACCACATAAGCAAAAAACAAAAAGCCAGATTTGGCGCTGTGGCTCAAGTGGTAAAGTGCTAGCCTTGAGCTGAAGAGCTGAGGGACAGCGCCCAGGCCCAGAGTTCAGGCCCCATAACCGGACCCAAAAAATAAAAAAATAAAATAAAAAAAGAAGAAGAAAATACAAACAAATGAGTAAAGCCTATGGGCAAGGCCCTGGCTCCAATTCCATTTCTTCCCAACAAAGGAGAATCATTAAATTCAGGCATTGTTCAGAATTTTATGACTTATACTTATCATTTATTTTTGTCTTCTACTAAAATAATCTTTCAGTGTGTTCCCTAATGGCATAAATTTACTATCCATTTTAAAATAAATCCTTTGGGATCATTCTTTAAACAGAACGGTTACAATATTTTTTATCTCATTTATATATACTGTTTAGACATGCATTGCTTTCACATTAATATCTTAGAATGAAGTCAAGAAATCAAGAGAGAGGAGTATATATTTTTATAGGGAGATTGATTTCAGAAGTATCTTAGTAGAGTTCCTTACTAATTTTCTTAAAGCCTTGACTTTTTCTCCACAAGATTTACGTCTTTTATTCTTCACTAAAATATTTAGAACTATTGCTATAGGTTATAGGGAATAATGATATCAGACTTAACAAAGAAAAGTTTAATATGTCCTTAATAACATCACCACAGCCCAACATCACTTTTTAGTTTATTGAGCAGTTTACAAAGTTTAGTTTATTTAGGTGTAAAGTCAAGTAGACTAAACATACTCTAATTATCCTGACTTCTCATGAGAATTGCAGAATAGTATTCATAATAAAAAATAGGAAAAAATCATCAATTTATCCCCTGTGTATTCTTCCTTTTACTAATTCATGATATTCTTATAGATTAATCTTTTGAATAAAAAGATGGATTGTGAAGGCCAAAATATTATCAGGACTCTACTCACTATGTATGATTTTCCATTTCTCATGACAATGGTGCTTAAATTCCCTTTAAGAACAATAAATATTATCTATATGCTTCTGTGTGTTTGTTTATATATATTGTGATTTTATGTTAAAACTATGAGAGCATAGTTCAATAAAGTGCTTATTGATCAGACTATCAGATCGTTTTTCAACTTGACTTGAAAATTGGCTCTGAAGACAATTTTCACATATATTTTGTTTGGGTTCAAATTTTTTCTTCCTTATTGATTCATATTAGCATGTGTATATATGCTAATATATACATATATGTATTTACATATAATATACACATATATGCATATTTATGTTTAGTACCTACAGTGTGACAGCCATTATTCTAAATATTCGTACAAAATATATAAACTTTTACATACAAAATAAACAATTACTACTTTGAGTTTGTATTGTCACAAAAATAAATAAAAAGAAAAACTGTGTAATAATGTCTGAGTGGCACAAATGAAGTATGATGATAAGGAGCATGAGGAAGGCTATGGAAGAAATCAGAGAAGACCTTAGAACACTCCAGAAAATACCTGATGGAGCTGAAAAAATGAACACAGGTATCTGCAGGATGAGGGCCCCCAGTAGAGGGAGCAGTATTCACAATACTAAGGTCTGGAAGAACAGAAAGAACTAGAGAAAGAAACTAAGATGATCGAGAGCATGAACCAACATGGCAAGAAAGAGAAGATTTGCCAAAGGGAGAGAGTGATTAGCTGTCAAAAATGTGGATACAGACCAAGTGATATTTGAGTCTGCAAACGGACGGAGAATTTTAGTAATCCTGAGAGCTACTAGTGAACCTGGTCAGGTGAATTCTGATTGGAGAGTGTGTAAGAGGGAAAGGGAGGATATGAAAGAGAGTGAATTTCAGTCTTCTCAGTACTGTTTCTATAAAGAAGGCCAGAGAAATGGATAATAGTAGGAAAGGGATATGATAAGAAAATTACATATTTATAAAAGGAAGGAAAAGAATGACACAGCAGTAAAAAAGATATGCAGAAATGAAAATGGGGCTGGGAAGGTGGCTCAGTGGTAGAGCGCTTGCCTTGCATGCATGAGGCCCTGGGTTTGATTCCTCAGCACCACATAAGCAAAAAAAGAAAAAAGCCAGAAGTGGCGCTGTGGCTCAAGTGGTAGAGCACTAGCCTTGAGCTGAAGAGCTGAGGGACAGCACCCAGGCCCAGAGTTCAGGCCCCACGACCGGACCCCCACCCCCCATAAAAAAAAAAGAAATGAAAATGAAGAAAATTGCAAGAGTGGTGATTTAAGGAAATGAAAAGGAAAAAGATCTAGAGTATGAAGGGATGGTTTGACTTTAAATAGGAGCAGCAAGAGTTCATAGCAATGAGGAAAGGTAAAGGACATGAGCATCGATGCTGAGGGTCAGCTGGCTTAAAGCATGGGATTTTGCAAGCTTTTTTCTAGTTTCTTTTTCACTCTGAAATAGGGAGAAGAAATTACAGTTTTATCAAGAACACTTCAAGGATATTAGAACAGTGGAATAAATCAAGTGCCATTTTAATACTTGAAAGAAGTGTATTAAGACATATCTAATTAGAAACTGTTTTTGTAATTTTGTTTTTCTCCCTTACAGGCTATTTACTGTTTCCCTTACATTAACATTTGCTTATCATTTCAGAGAAAATCTTCTTTTCTGGTCTCACCAACTCTCCCTTGCTTTCCCTTTCCTCCTATTAACTAAATAACCCATGTTGTATGAAAATGCATAAGACTGTCACTCAGAAAGATTCTCTAAGTATTTTTTGAAGAGATGTTGCCTTTTAAGTGTTCAGTTGAAAATTTGCTCTCCATGAAGACTTCCTTTCTGAAAAGCTTCTTCTGAAAATTCCTCTATTTTCCATTTTAAACCCAACATTCTGTGTATACCAGTAGTAGTTAGGCTACTGTTGTTAAAGAAAACCTAATAGGCCCAATATAACACTTCTTAAACATCTCAAAGTTATTTCAAGAAAAAAATGCAAACATATTCAAGCTACGCAACACATTAAAAGCTGTTTTAGAGTTTCAGAGAACATTCAGGG